AAAAGATCACTATAGGAATATAATAAACATGTCTAGTCACAACCTAAATCTTTTTAAATATATCACAAATGTCAAATCAGGACTCCATTCTCAAATAGCACTTAATATATACAAACCTATGGTTCGATCCAAAATTAAGTATTGCAACACCACCCTAGCCAACAGCCCTTAATCTGCATTGAGCAAAATTCAAGTCCTACAAAACAAAATCCTTAGAAGATGCCTTGGTCTTACACCGTCAACCCCAATTCAAACTATCTATGCTTTAGCAAATGAACTTCGCCCATCTGAAAGGGCCACATGGCTCACAGCCAAAGAAATAGTCAAACTAGCAGCATTACAGGATCCAATAGTCACCTCAATCAAATCAAACCTGTCCCTAAATTCCAGCTACTCAATAGTATATAACAAATTCTCCAACATTTTTGACAGTCTTGATGTGGTACACCGACATCATCCAGCGGCCAATCTGGAAATTATTGGCAAAACAATCACCACTAAGAAATCCGACATAACAGTGGAAGACATGAAAGCACAGCATGCCTCAATGGTTGATGACTATCTAAGCAGGAATTTCACCATCATCTACACGGATGCATCCCTAGCTGAAAACAAAACAGGCTGTGGAATCTACATAGTGAACACTAATTCTGAGCAGACCTTTCATTTTTCATTTTTCATTTTTCATTTAAATCATCGTCGGCCTTTGGGGAACTACGGGCCATAGAGGAAACAATAGACGTTGCATCAAAAAATAACTACATCTGCCTGGTAATTTTCTTCGACAGCTTAGTCTCAAACACAAATATTCCAACAATAGTATTGCAGAAAATTAATCAGGATAATTTTTCCAGTGTTCATGTAAGATGGATTCCCAGCCACAAGAGTCTCCCAGGTAACGAAAAAGCGGACGAGCTTGCCAAAAAAGCCACTGACCAAAGTAAAGAGCGAAATACATAACCCAAGCGGCTTGACAAACCAAGCGAAATTTCCCTTTGCTTCAAGCCATTTGTGCTGTCTATGGGGTGTTTGAAGGTTTGACAAACCGCTTGAGGGAAATTTGAGCAAAAATCAAATTTTTTTGATTTTCTGGCCGCCATGTTGACGTTTGATCAAACCGCTTGCGATGTGGATGGTAAAATCGCCTCAATTGCAACTGAAATTTCACCAAGTGAAGACGTAAAGGAGAATAATGGTAGAAAACTAAAATGTTTTACATTGTTAACCGAAAGAAAACTAAAATTCTGTGCTTGAACGACTCATGTTGGCATGGTCTATGGCAAAATGGGAAAAGTATGTTTGACAAGCCGCTTGTGTGGTGTATTTCGCTCTTTATAGTAAGACTGTCAAACTCACAGTTGACGAGGCGTGTAAGCTGATTAAAAATAAAATATACGGCGAAGTCTACAACAATTTCCTTAACCATTCCAACTCCAACAGACCACCTCTTTGCCACCACCTTTCCTTCAAGGAGAGGCACTACCTGGTTCAAAAAACTAAATTTCAGCCCTAAAGACATTAAAACGTTAAACAGGGTTAGGGTGGCCAGATGCGCTGATTTAATCTGTACAAATGCTGACTTTTTCTATTGTACTGATTTCTAAGAGCCCGAAATCAGTACACAAAATCTACTGATTTTTTGAGTTTGTACTGATTTTGTACTGATTTTTACATATCATAATTACTTTTGTAAACTGGTGTAATTGACATTTACTTGAGGTTTACATGTTCAAAACAATGGTTTTTGACAACTCATTACCCATTAAACCATTATTAAAAAGGTGTCAGCTGGCAATTGTTTCGTTTCCTGGGATTTCGCAATATAACAAACTGTTTGGATTCAACCCAACTCAACTTCACGATTTGCAGGTTTTACAGGATTTACAGGAAAAGCTGGTTTCGCCATTAATAAATCTTATGAAAGGTGGCGGTGAGTTAATCTTATATTAAGTACACTGTGAGAAGATGACAATAAGAGATCATCTTTTGATTATAATTAAACATCCACTGAGAAATCGGCTGTATTTCAAACTTAAGTCGACTACTGCTACGGTGCAATGTAAGTTCTAAAAATTTGGAAAAGGTGCAAACTACCGACTCTTTTTACAACGCTTTTATCACCTTGCAATGTTGTGGGTCCAGAAACTTTCAATGTTGTGGATCCAGAAACTTTCAATGTTGTGTGTCCTACACCAAAGCAAAGCTTTGAAAAGTTCCTGTAAAAAAGCATAGTGCATAGGGCGACAGCTGTAGTGAATAGGGCGAGGTAGATGACATCTAGATGTCACCCTATGTACTACGTTTGCTACAGCGGAAATAGACGACACGCCATTTCTTTAAATAAAATTAATTGGTGCTCGTTTGTATGTACATACATATGTAAATGCATGTGTGTGCACCTTTCTATTAATATCGTTGAATTATTTTAATATCTATTGCAAAATTTTATTCAGACAGGACTAAAAAGTAGAAAATAAATAATATAAAAAAAACTTTTTAATATACAACGCTTTTATAAATGGA